CCTTCCAAACACCTACACTCTAGACACTTAAGTAAATGAAATATAAGATGGTTAAAGGTCTCTGCTAGAGGCCAGATGTGGAGACCCCTGGCATGGACATTTAAGGGTCGACCGAGAGAAGACGTCAGGGAAGACTTCCTGAGACGGTGATGTACGAGCTGAGTTTCGAAGGGGGTGAGGCTAGAGTCTGCGAGTTGGTAAAACATGACAGCTGGACCTACAAAAGCGTGGAAGCCTAAGGGATCTCCGAAGTGCACACAGGACCCTGCGCCAGAGCCTGGGCGCAGGCTGAGAACACGTGGGCGGCGCGGGCACCCCAGCCTTCGTAACGGTCACGCACAGCCTGAGCATGGCCGGCCCCGCAACTCCTGCGAGCTCTTTTCCTGGTTGAATTTTCAGTTTTCTTCTTCATTCTAAAGCAATACATATTTATGTGATGAGATGAAAAATATCTAAATTAGCAAAATGAAGAGAATTATACCACCCATAATCCTGCTATAAAACCTCTTTTAACAAGTTATAAATCCTTCTGGGTCTTTATGTACATATTTTCTTTAATAAAAATTCTATTAAAACTCTATATATTGCTTTATAACCTGGTTTTTTGTTTAGTTAGTACTTTAGGAACATATTTTACATGTTAATACATATTTTCCTATATTATTTATATCTGAATAGTAGTATTTCTGGTAATTCTTTGGTTGTACCACAATGTATTAAAACATGCATGTGATGCTGTAATGTATTTCAATGTGGACATTTCAGCTGGTTTCAATATTTTGCTATTAGAAATAGTGTTTAGATTAACATTCTTGCTCATACTCTTAATTATTCCCCCGAGTCCTTGTCAATAGCTTTATTAAATTTCAATCTTAAAATAACAAGATTATAAGATTACTACACCAAGAATAATTAGCTATTCAAAACCACACACAATGATCCTCAATTTATCATCCTTACTTGTTCAGTGTCCCAAATGGTGACCTTCCGCTACCCTGCCTCACAGTATTTGATTACTCAGATCTACCATCTGAAGATGAAATGAACTCATGAGGAGATGAGGAGCAGAGTTTGGTGACGTTTAATAAGCACACCCGGCTGGTGTGGCTCAGTGGATGGAGCGTCGTCCCGTGCACCGAGGTCGCTGGTTCGATTCCCAGTCAGGGCACATGCCGGGGTTTTGGGCTCGATCCCCAGGAGAGGGTGTGCAGGAGGCAGCCAATTGATGTTTCTCTCTCACGTTGATGTTTCTCTTTCTCTCTCCTTCTCCCTTCCTCTCTCTCTAAAAAATCAGTCAATAATTTAGAAAAAAAGTTTAACAGGCAATGGGGCCTCCGTGTACCAGGGAGGGAATGAGGGGACTCCTGGGAGGCAGATCATCACCTGCAACAAGAGGTCAGAAAGCCTGCCCACCACGGGGAGGGCTCCTGGGGGACGGCCCCGCAGCTCAGTGAGGGAGGTTGGGGTAGGAGTGGGGGTGGGTGAGGGCCCCTGGAGACGCTGGCAGACAGGGAGTGACCTGCAGTTTGGACGGCCGTAGAAAGCAGTCGAACAACAGAGCCAGTGCGGGGTTTGGGATGGGGCAAGTGGGTCAGCTAGATGACACCCAAGGTGCTTTCTATGTCGGTCAGGCGTCTCTAGAGAAACAGACCGACAGGATCAGTACGGATACACAGAAAGAGACCTGTTATGAGGGGTTAGCTCACGTGTACAGAGACCGAGAAGTCCCACGATCGCTGTCTGCAAGCTGGAGGTTCCGGAAGGCTGGTGGTGTCGTTTCCATGCCTGGAGGCCTAAGACCAAGAAGCCAATGTTCAAAGAGCAGAAGATGGACGTCTTGGTTCAACTGCAGAGCAAGTTCGTTCTCCCTTCGCCTTTGTTCTGTTCAGGCCTCGACTGAGTGATGCCCACCCACATGGTGAGGGGCTCTTCTTCGCTCAGTCCGCCAGTTAAAGCTAATGTGCCCAGGAGTGCCTCGCAGACATGCCCGAGGTGACGGTGCTGTGGTTTTGTCAGACTAACATCTGTTCAACGGAGCTCAGGTGCGGCTGCGCGGTGAGCCTGGGTTCAAGAGCAGGACGAGAAAGCCAAAGAGAGAAGTTCGTTTCTCATGGGCTCTGAAGGAACCCGTGGCATGTCTCAAGGGGCCGCCCGGGGACACCCAGGCAGGACAGAGGCAGGACCTGCGACACGGCTTCATTAGGGTTGGCGGGCGGAGCGCTGCGGGGCTCTCGGGCTAGGACCAAACCGGTGGGTCCCACGAGAGTCTTGTCTAGGGGTGCAAACATCGCGCAGGCAGCGGGAGGCAGGGAGGCTGTCGGCGCCAGGGCTGCGGGAAGGGCCGAGCGGGACCTCACCGCGGCTCCTGCCTGCGCCGCCCTCTGGCACCGCCCGCGGGGAGGCCCGAGCGGGGCGGTCCGAGGCTGCTCAGTTAAACAACACGGGCCTGAGGCAGCAATACCACGGAGCAGCCTAGCTAACCCCTCAACCAGTGTTTACCAGCTGACTGTCACGTTGACACATAAAATTAACCATCATCCCTTCCAATGTAGCAAATTTATACTTCTCTACATAATAAATAACTTGATAAAAGCTTCCACCCGCATCAGGTCATTTAATCCTTACAATGTCCCTGCAGGAGCATAGATGTTATTGCCATTTGTGCAGAGAAACAATCAGGGCTCACACTGGTGCTGGACAGAAGACTTGGGGTCCAAGCTGGCTCCTCAGTGCAAACCCAGGTCGGGGCTCTCCATCTGTCCCCTGGTCCATCTGTCCCTGCTACGAGCCAGTGGCTTCCTTTCTGATCCGCTCCTCCCGCAGGGACAGAAGGAATCAACGTTCATGGAGGCCCTACCATAGGTAAACTTTGTGTTAGGTGTTGGACTTCAGTTACCTCATTTACTCCTCAAAGTAGCCCCATGAGAGACACAGGACAGTTAGTTTTACCCACCCGGGTTAAGTGATGGGGTAAAAGCCACACAACAGGAACCTTGTCTGATATCAAATACCAGGTGTATACGTCTGTGTGGCCCCGTCTTCTGTTTTCTTGCCCAGCCCCCTCCGAGCCGGGTCAAAGTGCTATGGCTAGGAGCGTAGGCCACACGGGTAAACAGTTCTGCTGTGGCACCTGCACAGCTCATCCAGAGGAGGAAGCCCTTGGGTTGCCCTCCCTGCCCACCGACCCAGTCCAGCGCTTGGTCTGTGGAGGTAGGTGCTGGACTCAGGCATGACTGCCGTGGCCTCCAACCAGGCCACGTAGGTGACGTCCCCTGGTCTCGCACCTGCGGAGAGAACTGCTCTCTCTCTTTTCTGTTTAATGTCCCTGTCAGGCTGAGACTGGTTTCAAGTGGGAAAGGAGAGTCAGGCAGTTTCAAAGGAGAGGAAGGAAGAAGGGAGACCGCACCAAGCCAGCAGTGCGGCACAGTTAAGCCCAGGCTTTGAATCAATGGGCAAATGTCACTATTCTTGGGATCAACGTTGTTTTCTCCGTTTCCTTCTCAGCATATGCATGGCTGCTTGGGGTCACACAAAACACATCCAGTGAAATAAGACATAGCTGTGTACTAAAAAACTAACAATTAAAGTTCTACGTGAACTATCTTACCCCACTGAGATGTTTGGCTGACCTCAAGGACAGTGACGAGGCCGTTCTTGGACATGCGCCCTGACACGAACAAGCAGGTTACTCAGAGAAGGTCAGAGGGCGTTCGGCTGCTGAGTGACGGAGCCCCTGCAGGCCCAGGGGTGCACGACCACCGGCGTGGCCGTTTTGGAGAATATGTGTCAAACAGAGTCAGAATACATTTTAAAAGATATATTAGTCCGGCTGGTGTAGCTCAGTGGCTGAGCATCAACCCTGCACCAAGAGGTCACGGGTTCAATTCCCGGTCAGGGCACATGCCCAGGTTGTGGGCCTGATCCCAGTGGGGGGCGTGCAGGAGGCGGCCAGTCGATGTTCTCTCTCATCGATGTTTCTGTCTCTCTCCCTCTCCCTTCCTCTGTCTCTAAAATCAATAAAGGAAAAAAAAATAGAAAAGATATATTAGGGGAGTAAAAGGCTACCAAACACATTTGTACTTTTAGCAAAATAGAGTAAACTGAAGAATTCAAAAGTAAAGAAAAACCTAATTCAAGTAAGGTAGGGAAACCCTATCATCCCCACTCTTCTTCGTCAATAAGAGGAAACACGTGAAGATCGGATGGGAAGTTAGTGAGGCTTCTCGGGAAGTGGAGCTGGGTCCGGGGAAGCCAAGCCCACCTCACTGCTGCGGGAGCGCCCGGCAGAGCTGACTGCAGACAGCGGGTCCCCGTCGCTGACTTCGGTGCTTTCTGTGCCCTTTGTGCCTTGAACGCTGGGTGCTGTGGGAAGTCAGCACTGCCCCAGGGTCCGGCGAGTGGGCTGAGGTTAGATATTGGAGTTGATCCCTTCATTTATTCCACTGATTCTTCTTAGAGCAGAACACAGATTGTGAGAACATGTGTTAGAATTTTAGCCCGGAGAGAGGAATATGAAATATTAAATTAATTCCAACAATTTGAGTCAACCTGAAAACTCCCAGTCTCTTAGGATAAAAAAATATATATATAATCCTACTTAGAAATTCCTGGTGCAATTACAGATTTGGGATTGGTTCTTTTCACGGAGCCTATTAATTAAAAACTCCATAATCCAAAGTCAATTATACAGCAAGATATTATAACAGATTCTTATTTCATTAATTTTTCAAAGTATGAATAATAACTACACATTCAACAGAAGAAATTCACATTTTCCACTGGCTTTGAGAAACAATGGGAGTAATTCCAGTCGGGGTAGCGGCTCGCTGTGGGCTGACCAACCTCTGAAGTAGTTTATTGATTCCAGATGACTTTTACATTGTGGAGTTAGTCATTAGGTTAGGTTGATGAGAAACAGACACAACAAGGGTTGGGAATTCAAATATGTATTATATTTCTCTTCACAATCATAAATAAATTTACTTTTTTTTTCTTTTTAGGCTCATGCCCAAATCTGGCATCTTTACAATACTTCTTTCCGTCCAGCTCAGGGGGGCCAGGTGTCCATTGCCTTAAGTTCCCACTGGATCAAGCCTCGAAAGATGACAGACCACAGCATCAAAGAATGTCAAAAATCTCTTGACTTTGTTCTAGGCTGGTTTGCCAAACCCATATTTATCGATGGTGACTATCCTGAGAGCATGAAGAATAATCTTTCGTCTCTTCTGCCTGCTTTTACTGAACCTGAGAAAAAGTTCATCAAAGGAACAGCTGACTTTTTTGCTCTTTCCTTTGGACCAACCTTGAGTTTCCAGCTATTGGACCCTCACATGAAGTTCCGCCAACTAGAATCCCCCAGCCTGAGGCAGCTGCTGTCCTGGATCGACCTGGAATATGACCACCCTCAAATATTTATTGTGGAAAACGGCTGGTTCGTCTCAGGGACCACCAGGAGAGACGATGCCAAATATATGTATTACCTCAAAAAATTTATAATGGAAACCTTAAAAGGTAGGATTGGGGATAAAATTCTTATTTCTTGCCAAAATCCACTGGTAAAACAATCTTTAAGATGATCTGTAATAAACTCTGTGAATTTATAGTTTTTAATTGTAATGTACAAATTCATCTTGGCAATAATAGGAATAACTTTATGTAACTTTATGTAATGCCTTTCTCATTTGGGGACTTAAGGAACTTAAATTATTTTAAAACTCATTTTATAAATGAGAAACTGGGTTATAATGTGTGAAATTTTCAGAGTTACTACTCTAGATTTTTAGATTACATTAAATATTAGGTATATCTCAGTGTATTTAGCTCTCCTTAAATGTTTTTGGTTTCTTATTGCTTGTACTGAATAAAACACTTTAAAAAAAAATCAACATTTTCTACAGGAAATAGTAACTAGTTCATGCTTTTAAAGCCTTTCTCTGTTTATTACATCAGGAGCAATGTCAGGTGTCCCGGATGGAAAGGGGACACTGGGAACAAGGGGAATCCAAATACAAGCTTACTGGGGATCAGCCTGTTTGTGAAGGCATTGATTTATAGTCATCTAGGTGTGATACGATCCTTTCGTAGGTCATTGGTTTACCGAACAACAAGCACACTTCATCATTTATTTCCTTAAGTAGTCAAACCCTCAAGTGTCTTGTCCTGTCTTCCCTTTACAGCCATCAGACTGGATGGGGTGGACGTCATCGGGTACACAGCGTGGTCCCTCCTGGACGGCTTCGAGTGGCACAGAGGCTACAGCATCAGGCGCGGACTCTTCTATGTCGACTTCTTGAGCCAGGAGAAGACGTTGTTGCCGAAGTCTTCGGCCTTGTTCTACCAACAGCTGATAGAGAAAAATGGCTTTCCTCCTTCACCTGAAAACCAGCCCCTAGAAGGGACCTTTCCCTGTGACTTTGCTTGGGGAATTGTTGACAAGTACATTCAAGTAAGTCAGCTGAAAACCCAGTCAGCCTCTCGCCAAGCCCTGTCACTAGTAAGTAGAGCTTCCTCATTAGGCTGGCACGGAGCACGGTCCGCTCTTCGGACCAAACACTGTTCCCTCGGGGCACTTTGTCCAACGCTGCACCCTTCTCTCCAAAACCCTCTAGCTTCACGTGCACTTAAAATCAGCCCCCAAAGGGAACAAATAAGAAATACATACCCATTTAAGATCTGAGACGGCTGAGTCCTCCCATAAACGAGATGCAACACAAAACTCCGCGTTCTCTGCGATCTCAGAGGGGCTGCTGGGACTGCGGCAGGCGCCGGGCAGAGCCCCCCGAGGCACGGCTTTGGCTCCCAGTCTTGCTGGAATACACAGCGAAAGCCTTTGCTCAAAGTCATCCTGAGCAGCGGTCACTGAGATGGGATGGGAGGCCTTCAGAATGGTCCACCAATATTTACTGTGTACATACCATGTAGTTAGTTCTCAATATTATTTTAAACTTAATTCCAAACTTTTTAAATTTAATTACTTAAATTAAAAGATTTAATTTTAATTTAATTATTTTCAAGAAATTATTTTCTAAAGTTTGATCAAATAGAAAGCACTTATTAGCATGTGCACATCCTTGTGCTAGTTGCTGGGGTGCTAGGGCGCAGGGCGTGTGCGATGAGAAGAGAAAGACATGAGCCTTGCCTCGAAAGGAGTCTGGAGAGAAAATGATGGCTCCACAAATAACATGACAGAGTGAAGAAAGCACGAGGGTAGGGTGTTGCTGAGCAGAGTCTGAAAATAGGCAAAGTCCGGAGACAAGCAATGGGATTTAGCAGGTTGAGTGCTTCTAGCCAATTCATCGGTTCTCTGGGGAAGGAAACATCATTTTCCCTCTACCCTTCTGAGTTCTTCACTGAGACTCTTGTCATAAAAGACAGATTAACAAGAGAAAAACAGAAGTTTATTCACGGGTATACCCGAGGTGGCTTGCAGTTCAGGATAAATATCTTGTTAAGAGGGAAAGCAGGAGGTGGGTTATAGGTCTCTTACGGCAGAGTCAGTGATTTTTAGAAACATAACCAGACCCTTCTAAGAACAGATGGGAACTGTGATAGTTTGTGACGAAGCTTGTCTGGACGCGCTGTGGACGGCTAGTCTCCTCTCCCGTGACGAGAGCCAGGGTTCCCTGGCTGAGGAGACTGGGGAGGGGTTTCTGACCTGAGCTCCTGCTGGGGTCTGTCTAGGCAGAGGGGATGCTGAGCAGGTCTCTCCTGCGTTTGTTTGTCAAGTGCCTGCAGCTCCAGATAATCAATACACCAAGGGGCATATTTGGGGGTGGCGTGTTCTGGTACCCTTCAGTTCAGAAGTGTTTGGAAGAATGTTTGGATCTGAGGAAAGTCCTTCTACTTGAAATGGTTGCTCTTTTCTCGTAAACATCAAATTGCAATCTTTTATTTATAAGAAAATATATTAACACTATACTTTTTTTTTTTTTGCTGGTTTCTATTACTCATGCCTTTTTCAGCCCTCCAGTAGTTACAGGGCTCTCAGAGGTGAATCCCTGCCCTACGTGTTAGCAAGGTCATCTGAGGCAACAGCAAATCCGCGCGGCTGCACCCACTCAGGGGGGGAGTCCAGCCTCCTCCCCCTCCCCCCTCAGCCCGGTGCATTTGCACGCCCCTGTCCTAGCTTCTCCCCTGTGGGGGGTAAACAGTGGGTTCAGGTGACATGTGGAGGGCAGGTGAGGGAGTGAGGGGAAGGGGCAGGGAGGAAGGGAGACTCACAGCCCCACCTTCTTCCTCTCCTTTACTAACGGGACTGGGGTGGGATGGTCCCCAGTCCTTGTTCTATCTCTTGACTCCCTACCATGCCTCGGCCTGCACCCCTTGTCACTGAGGGCTCCTGCTCCTCTCCATCGCTGGCGGGGCCCTGAGCCTGGGCAGGGCATTCTCAGCTCAGTCCTCTGTGCAGAGACGTCTCCACCAGCTCCTCCAGGCAGGCAGTGTGAGCTCAGAGACATTGGAGGGAGCCCCTGGCTCTGCTGTTCCCCACCCCAGGGCCCTGTCTGCCTGGGGACTGGTAAGGGGTGAGAACGTCTTAAGAATATATCCTGCTTCCTGGACAGAGAAGAGAAACTCCAGTCAGACGTAACAAGAGTGCATGAGGGGTGATGGAGAGGGAAGCCCTTTTTCTGCTCCTCGAAGCACTCGTCTTCGAATCTAATGCCAGCCCCCCACCAGCCCGGGCCTCTCCTCTCAGGCCTCAGGCCTCTTTACGTGCCCAGCTCGGTGCCTACTCCACCGCGCAGAGCCCCGTGCTCTCCCACACAGAACCGCCAAGCAGAATTAATCACTCTCCACCCACGGCGGACTCAAACTTCTCCGGAAGCTCTTCAGTGGGAAAAAGCAATTGCTATTTCATCTTTCCTGCTTTTCGTGGTGAGCTATGCACTACTTTGGTAGAGGCCTTCCCAAGCGAGCTCCCTAACTGACCAAGTCATAATGAGTCTTTGTCAGCGCAGTGCTGAGGAGTGTGGGCGTGTTTTATTTATAGGTAGTATTTATCCTTTTAATACATTATATTAAAGTCCAGAGAAACGATTCTTAAACCATTGCAATCTGTCTTCTTCCTCTTGTATAGCATGTCAAAAGCTAATATTAATGAGGCATGCATTTTACTAAAAACTTAAAAATCATATCCCATTAAGCACACAACCTGCCTGAAGTCTGACCTTAGGCTGATTCTCATGGACTGTCGTGGTGTTTGGACTGATTTTCCAGGTGACAGCGTTTCCCCACAACTATTAATTCTCATAGTGAGTTAGTGATGGAACTTGCTACACCCTGGAACATGGGCTTCTTTAACAGTGGTCTTGTTAGGAGAAAGTTTCCTCCATAACATACAAAATGCATACCGTATACCCATTCCTTCTGATTCAGCTTCATTATTTCTTTTTTTTTTTTTATCCTCACCCCAGGACACTCTTCCACTTTTGTTCAAATAGAGTGGGAGGTGGGAGGGAGAGAGAGAAAAACATCAATGTGAAAGGGACACATCGACTGGCTGCCTCCCGCATGACCTCAACCAGGGCTGGGGACGGATCACAACCGAGGTCTGTGCCCTTGACCAGAATCGAACCCGCGACTCACTGGTCTGCGGGCCAAACCGCTGAGCCAAACTGCTGAGCCAAACCGGCCAGGGCTTATTTCAGTTTTTATTAAGAAAAAAGTCAACTAATTAATAAAGGTTAGATAGAATTATGCCTGAATTCCACCATTTCCAAATGTCCTGTATGTTTAAGAAAGAGATTTCTCCCCCAAGACTTACACTGTAGTCTCTCATATTTGTTATCAAATGGACTGAATAAAAGCTGGTGTTTGGGAACAATTATGGTAGAAAAGATAGTTCTATAAAAATAATCCAAAAATTCCTCCAAGCTATGAACACTCTCACTTCAAAAGAGCATCAAACATTTTCTCTTGCAAAGCCAAAGCAACATGATTTGTGGGTGCATCACGGTGGAAAAACACTTCTGACGACATTCTCACAGAACTAGGGAAGTGCGTGTGTGGGTGATCTACAAGGGACAGGCCTCCAGAAAAGCAATTTCCCTCCGACATGCTGTTTTTTATTGCTTTCCTTTATGAACACAGCAACGACCCCTGCAGAGACACAGCAGCTCATTTGCAACAGGCCGGTAAACCGGCAAGGAAACTTCTACTAGAGATTCAAAACTGGAGTTCGCCTGACCCCGCTTTTATAAGAGGGCCCAACCGAGTAACCTTCTCTAAGGAGACTCTTCCCTGGGAGGAAACAGGTGTAGGCAGCGGGTCTGGGTGCACTTTCTGTTTGCATCTCTCCATGCTTACACCTGGAGGGAGGACTTGGTCATTGTGAGTGTATCATTTTCCACTCTCCCGAATACCTGTTTTCATTTTGGAGACTTCGATGTCAGATGTTGAGAACCATATTGTCATGATTGTCAAAGAAAAACAATTAGGAAAAACATTTTAAACTATTTTATAAAATTCCATTATGGATCAATGACAATATTGTTCCTTATTGTCCACATGCTTTGTCACTTTCTACCACCAGTCAGATTGAATTTGTTAAATGCTGTTATCAACACCAAGGCTAATAAATGGCTATAGTTATGATTATTTAGTACCTTCTCTTCTGAGAGCAAATCTCACTGTAGAATGTGATTTTAAGGAGCACATTTTAATTAAATTAATTAATTAATTAATTTATTTATTTTATCCTCACCCGAGGGCATTTTTTCGTTTTTTGTTCAGACAGAGTGGGAGGGAGAGAGAGAGAGAGAGAGAGAAACATCAACCTGAAAGGGACACATCGAGTGGTTGCCACCCGCATGACCCAACCAGGGCTGGGGACAAACTGCAACCGAGGTACATGCCCTTAGCAGGAACCGAACCCGGGTCTCTCTGGACCGCAGATGAGGCTTCAACCGCTGAGCCAAACCGGCCAGGGCCACATTTTAATTTTAAATGTCATTTCATTTTTTGACTCTCACTTAGGTTTGAAGCTTTATCTTTGCCATTAAAAAAATTAAAGTCTCATCTTAATATTAATTTCTTACATTAAAAGAAAAGCATCCAAAAATACTCTGCTTGCTTAACACAGGCCAGAGATGTGTGGGAATCACTACTATTTGTTATCTTAAGTAAGGGGAATGATTTTTAAAAAAATTACCGTATAAAAGAGAACTACAGGGAAAACAAATATGCATAAAAGAAAGTGGGGTGTTTTCTTGTTCAAGAATTCACTATTTATAAAAACAATCATTTCACTTTCAGCTAGAACGGCTACTTACTGTTCGCTCATCTCGCTAGCTAGTTCCGTTGAAGGAGCTGCACTCACTGCTGTGCAGGCCTGTCCGCGAATCGTACTCATGCTCCCTCTGCTCCTCCTAGGTCGACACTACCCTGTCTCAGTTTACCGACCCGCACGTTTACCTGTGGGATGTCCACCACACTAAGGGGCTCATTAAGGTGGATGGCCTTGTGACCAAGAAGAGGAAACCCTACTGCGTGGACTTCGCTGCCATCCGGCCCCAGATCGCCCTGCTCCAGGACATGCACGTGACGCATTTCCACTTCGCACTGGACTGGGCGCTGATCCTCCCGCTGGGCGACCCGTCCCGGGCCAACCGCTCGGTGCTGCACTTCTACCGCTGCATGGCCAGCGAGCTCGTGCGTGCCAACATAACGCCCGTGGTGGCCCTGTGGCGCCCTGCCGCCCTGCACCACGGCCTGCCGGAGCCGCTGGCCAAGCGGGGCGCCTGGGAGAACCCCCACACGGCCCTCGCTTTTGCAGAGTACGCCAGGCTGTGCTTTCAAGATCTCGGCCCGCACGTCAAGTTCTGGATCACGATGAGCGAGCCGCACACGCGGAACATGACCTACAGCGCGGCGCACACGCTGCTGAAGGCCCACGCGCTGGCCTGGCGGCTGTACGACGCGCGGTTCCGAAGCGCGCAGCGGGGGAAGATTTCCATCGCCCTGCAGGCCGACTGGGTGGAGCCCGCCTGCCCCTCCTCCGCCCGGGACCGCGACGTGGCAGAGCGCGTCTTGGAATTCGACGTTGGCTGGCTGGCCGAGCCCATCTTCGGCTCCGGGGATTATCCACGCGTGATGAGGGACTGGCTGAACCAGAGGAACAATTTCCTTCTACCTTACTTCACTGAAGACGAAAAAAAGCTTATACGGGGTTCCTTCGACTTTCTGGCTTTAGGCCACTACACCACCATCCTCGTAGACTGGGAGAAAGAAGATCCCGTAAAATATAACGATTACCTGCAAGTGCAAGAAATGACGGACATCACGTGGCTCAACTCCCCGGACCAGGTGGCCGTGGTGCCCTGGGGCTTGCGCAAGGCCCTGCGCTGGCTCCAGCGGAAGTACGGAGACCTCCCCACCTACGTCCTCTCCAGCGGCGTGGACGACGACCCGCAAGCCAGCCACGACCGGCTGAGGGTGCACTACCTGCACAACTATGCAAACGAGGCTCTCAAAGGTAAGGACCCGGAGACTCCTGCCGCGTTGCCGGAGGCACGTTCCCGTTCCGGAGAGCAGCGCTGTCCGCCCCTTGCCACACGGAGCCTCCGAGGACGGCAGTCTCCCCAGACGCACAGGACTGCGTTTAACCCAAGTGCAGGCGGACAGCCCGGGCCCCGCGCTGGGCGCGGGCTACGCTGTCCCCCACCGCCAGACGCCCCGCATCGGACCTGCTGCCAGCACGTGACGATGAACCCACGGCCCTCGTAGCAGGTCTCCTTACGTAGAGCCAACGGTGTACATGTAGCTCAGTGTTTGCCTTGAGACTTGCCTGCTTGTCTTTCTCTGAAAGAAGTCTTTTCTGATTAAATGCAATTTAATCTGAAGTTTTATTAAATGGTGTTGAAAATTTCCCCGAGGCACCAAGGCCACGTGAAGGTAAAGTGCTGTGTGCAAGCCCTGGCCGGTTGGCTCGGCGGTTAGAGCGTCGGCCCGGACCAGAGTCCCCGGTTCGGTTCCGCGGAGGGCACGGAGCTGGGTTGCAGTTTGTCCCGGCCCTGGTTGGGTCATGTGGCCACCACTCGATGTGTCTCTCTCACATCCATGTTTCTCTCTCCCTCCCTCCCTCTCTATCTGAAGATAAATGCAAAAGTGTCCTGGGTGAGGATAAAAGAAGTCTTGTGTGCAAAATATTTTAGTAACTGTTCGCCTGTTTTTTGTTTTCCAGCTTACATACTGGACGGGGTCAACCTCCGCGGCTACTTTGTGTATTCATTTACCGACCGCACAGCTCCGAGGTTTGGCCTCTACCGTCACGCTGCCGGTCAGTGGGAGCCCAAACCGTCCGTGAAGCATTACCGGAGAATGATCGACAGCAACGGCTTCCCGGGCCCCGGAGCCCTGGGCAGAGTCTGTCCGGAAGAACTCGCCCTGTGCACTGAGTGTAGCTTCTTCCACACCCGAAAGATGTTACTAGCTTTCCTAGCTTTCCTCCTCTTTGCTTTTATTATTTCGCTTTCTCTTATTTTTTACTACTCTAAGAAAGGCAGGAGACATTATAAATAGCTCTGAACATTTTTCTGTTCACCTATTTTGAAATAATTACGCACACATGAATTGTTAACCATTTGCAGTTGTCAGTGTTGTGAAGCTATAGATTTCATATGTCTGATTTCTACAAAACTTTTCTGTGACATATGACAGATTTTCAAATAAGCACAGGTGATTGTAAAATATTGAACAATGTGAATAGTGCCTGGATTTGTTTCTTTTTGAGGGTGATAAAAAACAGACAGGGCCATCATTTCTACAACATCGTGTAACGAAAGCATGAGAAATGGGAACCATTCTGCAACATTTCTACAGAAATGTAATGACAAGATTAGGGTATTGTTTATCTGTGCCCCTTCCTAAATATAATGTTTACTTACAGTAATAATTGTAAGTGTTAGAATACAAAGTTAGTCCCAAGTAACCATCTCACAACTGCCACGATATGCCTGGTGGGCTCTGTTAACCAAGTCTCCCTTGGAAGAGAAGATGACAGAATGGAGGAGAGATGGCAAAGGCTCTAGGATGAAATGGTTAGCAGTGTTTCTGTTAGGTGCTGCCAAAGTTAATTTGCATACCTGGTTAATGATATACTTAGCAGGGCAAATGACATTTTTATGTGACTTTCAAGGTGTTCTCTAAACCCTGGGTCCTTGAAGGCTTTGTGTCCTTGGGCCTTGTAGAGGGTCTGCTCATAGGGAACCTTCACTGAATGTGTGCAGAAAAGTAAACATGACTCACGAGATGCTGGGGTCTTCAGGAAGCACAGAGCGAGTGGGAGTGCATTACGCTGCAGGAGCTCTAGGAGGAGGTAAGGAATAAAAAGTACGCATGATGAGCAACATTATGATTAATTTGATTATAAACCCTTTCATGTTAGAACAGATGTTGGAATGAATGAGGTGACCTTTCTTGAGGGAATAAGAACAAAATAACAACTCATCCTGTGAAGAATGACTTCACTTTCTGCTCTTTAGAATCTGCCATAATTTCTCTGAGTTGAGTTTTAAATGTTCTTAATAGATTCAAAGGCATCTAATCTGATAGCACTGGAAAATTTTCTTTTGTGATTGCTGAGGTCCAGGTTATTAATTTTTGCTGCTACTTCTGTGGAACTAGCTTTGAACTAGTTTTGCTTTGAATTTTCACACTGAAATATGCTGCTGATTTCCAGAAAATGTCAGGTCTTGCCCTCCGAGGCCCCTACACAAGTCTTGCTAATTTTCAGACAGGGAAATCTATTACACTACAGCTGTAGATGATCTTAATGCTTTTTATAGATGAGCCAACACCGTGTCAGGCAAGATGAACCGACACGGGCTCAGGAATGGCTAATGTTGCTGGCAGAGCACGGCAGTGGGTAAGACACACTGTACTGCATTATGTATCATCTTCAGAGGCGGTGTGATTTTTTGCCATGAAAGATAAGCTTTTGGGTTAATCTTTTAAAGATTGGACTCATTAAAACTGGAAACTAGAGAATCATAGTTTATTTTATGTATATATTTTTCTGATTATAAGAGTAATATATATTCATTGTAAAAAAATTTTTAAGACACAAACTATATGTAAAAAATGTTACCTGTAATGTCACCACTCTAAGGTAGCCACTATCTATGTATTTTATTTTACCTAGAGTCAGATCATAGTTTAAATTGTTATGTATCTTTGTTAATTTTTATTGTGTGCATTTCCTTTGTCATTTATCTTCAAAAGCATACTATTTTTAATGGTCATAGAGTAATTCCACTATATAACTTTATCACAACTATTTAACCATTCCCATTTCTTAGACTCGTTTCTTGTTAATTTCTGTTAGATACTGAATGCAATTTTTAAATGATCTTCTTGCTACAATAATTCTTTTGAGTGTGCAGAGAAGCCATTCTGTTCCTTAATGAAGGTGATAATAAACTGGCCACAGCTTCGCCTTCTTTCATAACCGTGTGCTGGTTGCTAGACGCGTTTCCCTGACAAAGTTTTGCTTTGAACTGTGATGCGGGCGGTGAGGAGGTGGGTGTTACAGCAGAGGGAGCAACCTGAGCTGGGGGGAGGGTGCCCCAGGCTGGTCTTGGGGCCCAGCTGAGAGAATTTCAGACACTGAGAAAGCAGGGGAAGAGGAGGAAGTGACCAGCAGGCGCCAACGTCCTGAGAGAAACGACATTTCAGAAACAGAAGCTAGGTTATAGGGCTAACTTTGAGTCCCCACAGGCCTTGGGGGAGGCTGGTGGCTCACTGGCAGCCTGACAGGGGAGGGCACCTGGTCAATCAGTCCAGGGCACACGCATTCCTTAGCAGATTCTCAGAGCACTGCTCTCCCTCCAGGGATGCTCTCCCTCCAGGGGTGCTCTCCACCCGGGGGTGCTCTCCCTCCAGGGGTGCTCTCCCTCCAGGGGTGCTCTCCACCCGGGGATGCTCTCCCTCCAGGGATGCTCTCCCTCCAGGGATGCTCTCCACCCGGGGATGCTCTCCCTCCAGGGGTGCTCTCCCTCCAGGGGTGCTCTCCACCCGGGGATGCTCTCCCTCCGGGGATGCTCTCCCCCCGGGGATGCTCTCCCTCCAGGGGTGCTCTCTCTCCAGGGGTGCTCTCCCCCCAGGGATGCTCTCCCTCTGGGGGTGCTCTCCACCCGGGGGTGCTCTCGCTCCAGGGAAGCTCTCCCCCCAGGGATGCTCTCCCCCCAGGGATGCTCTCCCTCCGGGGGTGCTCTCCCCCTGGGAATGCTCTCCCTCTGGGGATGCTCTCCCCCTGGGAATGCTCTCCCTCCAGGGGTGCTCTCTCTCCAGGGGTGCTCTCCCCCCAGGGATGCTCTCCCTCTGGGGGTGCTCTCCACCCGGGGGTGCTCTCGCTCCAGGGAAGCTCTCCCCCCAGGGATGCTCTCCCCCCAGGGATGCTCTCCCTCCGGGGGTGCTCTCCCCCTGGGAATGCTCTCCCTCCGGGGGTGCTCTCCCTCCGGGGGTCTCTCCACCCGGGGGTGCTCTCCCTCCGGGGGTCTCTCCACCCGGGGGTGCTCTCCCCCCAGGAATGCTCTCCCCCCAGGGATGCTCTCCCCCCAGGGATGCTCTCCCTCCAGGGGTGCTCTCCCCCTGGGGATGCTCTCCCTCTGGGGACGCACTCCACCCGGGGGTGCTCTCCCTCCGGGGATGCTCTCCCTCCGGGGGTGCTCTCCCTCCGGGGGTGCTCTCCCCCCTGGGAATGCTCTCCCTTCAGGGGTGCTCTCCCTCCGGGGGTGCTCTCCACCCGGGGGTGCTCTCCCCCCAGGAATGCTCTCCCTCCGGGGGTGCTCTCCACCCGGGGGTGCTCTCCACCCGGGGGTGCTCTCCCTCCGGGGATGTTCTCCCTCCGGGGGTGCTCTCCCTCCGGGGGTGCTCTCCCTCTGGGGATGCTCTCCACCTGGGGGTGCTCTCCACCCTGGGATGCTCTCCACCCTGGGATGCTCTCCACCCTGGGATGCTCTCCACCCAGGGATGCTCTCCATCCAGGGATGCTGGACTTTGCACCACTCCGTACACAGGGGTGGGCAAAGGGAGGGTTACAGCTGTGAGGGACATTCTTTCGAGTTACAGATAACTGCAAACCCACTTTTGCCCATTACACACACACACACACACACACACACACGTTTATAAACATATATACACATATACATATATATACACACACACATATATTTATAAATATATATATCACACACATACAGACCAGTCCTCTGAAGCTCGCACATCTCTTAGTGAAAGGGTTAGTAACGTTTCAAAGGGTAAAGGTAAAAGCTCACAAAAGGCGGAAACTGTGAAAAATACGTTGTTTGCATGACCTTTGCTCAGCCTTCTGCCTAGTGAGGATTATCGGATTATCTGTAAGACCTGACTCACCCAGCAGATGCAGCACGAGATAGCAGACCAGTCCAGCCGCAGAGTGGACAGTGGCCCAGGCAGAGGACGTCAGCAGGGACTGCCGGAAGCTAGCAGAGTACATGACCTGCACCCCAACTGTTATTCGAGGCTGAACCTTCTCGGCTCGGCCCGCCTGCACCCAGCTCACGTGATGAAGCTGTTCTGCCCTACCTTGGCCTTCGCTGTGGGTGTGATCTCACGCCGGCTCGGACCTCTTACTCGGTAACTGTGGGGCCAGGCGTCCAGGGGCACCGAGTGATGAGCTGTGGCCCCAGGCCCCTCGGGCTGCCGTCTGCCACATCTGCTCGTGCCCTGCATCCACAGCCCTGCCCTGAACCCGGTGGGCCCTTGCACTTAGGCCCAGCTCGTTCCGCCTCGGTCCAAGGACTGGGTTCCAGACTCATTAAGGACACTTTTCATTTCATTTTCTCCTATCTTCCGCAGACAATACTAGATCTACGGATGCCGCAGAAGCGAACAGGGCTCTCCCACAGAAACATGAACTTTGCAGTAATCACGTAAAAGGGATAAAAAAGCACAGAAGAAATAAAGTTTAAACTGCACTGTATTGTCCCTAAACATCCAAATTATTGTAGTTTCAACAGGCAATCAACATAAAGGGTTACGGTTTTGCACACTTCTCTGGGCACCAAGCTGCGAGGCCCGGTGTGTCTCACAAGCGCCGTGCGTCTGGCGCTCAGCTGGGCGGGCTGCACGGGGGTCCAGAGGCCACACAGGGAGCCCAGCGGCCACACAGGGAGCCCAGCGGCCACACGGGGGGCCCAGCGGCCACACGGGGAGCCCAGCGGCCACACAGGGGTCCAGAGGCCACACAGGGAGCCCAGCGGCCACACGGGGAGCCCAGCGGCCACACGGGGAGCCCAGCGGCCACACGGGGGCCCAGCGGCCACACGGGCCCCTGGCTGCTGCGGCTGTGCAGGCCTGTAGACAGAGCCCGTTTGCAAAGGAGCTGACAGCTTACAGACCGGACCTTTGTCAAGTTCTCCTAAGCTCTGGAATCCACGGAAATAATGGGCATGTGACTTTTCAATGAAGCCTAACTATTGATTGAAACATATTTTAAGAACATCTATGTGAACAAAAGCGTTTTTGCAATTCTAAAT